GGCGAATTGGAGTAGCCAGTGGCGCTCTGCGTGAACTAGCCCGACCGACTGTGACGAAAGCAGATCTCAGTCTGAAAACTAAACTCTCGGTGTTCAAGTCGATCTTCATCCCCATGCTTACCTATGGTCATGAATCGTGGACCATCAGTGAAAAACTTTGTTCCCGGGTACAAGCTGCTGAAATGGGTTTTCTTAGACGAGTCGCTGGCTTTATTCCTCTCGGCATGATCTGGAATACTGACATCTGGATGAGCCTTGGTGTACAGCCTTTGCTTCTCCAGATTGAGAAGTGACAATTGCGATCGTTTGGGCATGTTGCGAATGCCTCCAGAAAGGAATGCTAGGCAACTGTTTCTTGCGCAAGTGGCCGTTATGAAGCCCAGAGGACGGACAAGATTAACTTGGGGCAAATATATGGAAAGAGTCTGTTACAGACTCTAGTTGTTTTCTGCGGAGGCTCAGACTATGGCACAGGATCAGGAATGTTGGAAGCTATGTCTGATGCGTCTTCCTCCGTGACCCGAAAGGAGAAACGGCCATGGAAGATGAAGATGTCAAAAGCTGTGTAGATATAAACCCGAATGTGTGCAAAATACATGAAAACCTTCCATATGGTAAAATCCTTGAAAAATCTTCATTAGACCACTGGAAAAATCAACCGTCGAACGCAACATCATTGGAATGCAAATGGGATTTATTCATAACGATTTTATTTTTTGAATTTATTCGCCAATTGAATCAGGTGAAATTTGCGAATTCTCTATGTTCCCGTATTGGAATGAAATATTCATAAAATATGCGATGCATTACATTTCGATTTACTCACAGCGGTAGTAGTCTGATGTGTTCAACAAAGTAGTTCGCTAGAAATCTTTTCCTTGATAAGTCGCATCATCTGCACGACTTTTTGTCCGGCTATCAGTCAAGAATGGGGTAGAACGCTCACTGGTAAATTGTATGCCCGAGACAGACATTTCAGCTGACCAGTGGTATCTCTCCTGGGCCGAATATGGAAGGACTTAATGAAATCGAAGATGACTGGCAGGCATATTCAATTTTGACGCCTATCTCACCTCTCGATTTATATTTCGAACCAATTTTATACAGCCCATTTAGATTCAGTTTGAGTTAACTCTTCTTTAGCACGTAATCGTTATATTAACTGTCGCACTATATTTCTTTTTATACAAGGCGCCATATCGCTGAGTAAAGTTTTACCATTACGCAGTGGGACAGCGGCAAAGAACTTGACCAAGAATTTCGGAGTTACGAGGTTGGAATCCCCAGAAGGACCAAATTTGTATGAATCGTTAATTCCCTTGAACAGAGAATATACCGTAAGTCGTTTCAGTGCAACTAGCAGAGAAACGGGTAGCAAATCGTTGACTTAAGAACAGAAGGTTCAGTGTGGTGCAGTCGGAACTGGTGAGAGCTGAGACAACAGTTTGATGCTTGACGCACCTGATACCCGCCTATTCAACGTGGCAATTAGTAGGTGTAACCCTTGTAATTATTGCTGTAGCAGAAAATATGAACTATCTTGACTTGTAAAAGTTAATCTTCACTGCCGCTGGTAAGAATAACAAGTCCGTGTTATCTTTGCATTTGCAGAATTTCACAACTTGGTTGAGGTCACAAAAATGATTTCAGACTTAAAACACGCTAGAAAAGCATGTCACAAGTGTTTTGTCGAAAATATTCATCTTGCATAGTCATTATCAATTTACAACAGACACTGGTCATTTTGCACCTTTAGACTTCCTTCCTTCCTTCTCCTGAGATATGCTTTGGTGGTAGATGCAGGTCACAGACATATCAACTCTTGTACCTGCGGGATGCAACTGCCATCATTTTGACATGCTGCACTTACTTTACATATTCTGTGCGGGCATATCAGTCATTTCACTAAGACCATGAATATCTGATTTTCATCGAATTCCAGCTGACTTTGGCTAGCTGTCGCGCAACAACCGCACTCCTCTGCTCAAACGAATCTGAGTCAGTATTAAGCAATGTAAATGAAACCTACGGTTTTCCAATTTTGCCAAAGTTCCGCGTTACCTGTTATCTCTTAAAATTACAAAAACTCACGAATTTCAGTAGTCTGGCATTCTACTAATTTTTTGGGTAGTCATTAACTTTTCTGAATGTTTCTCTGGTCAGCTCCTATAAACTGAGAATTCTGGACACTTTTGAAAACAAGTAAAATAACTTTAACTATATCGCTTGTGGTATACTTCTGACTTTCAAAAACCGACTGGCTAAAATTTTGAAGGGTCACAACGACTAGTTGCATCGCCATGTTCGGTCGTGTGCTACAGAATTAAAGTTCACAGCAAACAAACGGGAATGTCGCAGAATTACAGTGCAAAACTCCCGTTTTTGCGGCACTTACTTTAGCTTCACGGCATATTGAACGAAGGATGAAAATTTCACACCACCACAAACACGCTCCTCACAGATTCAGCATCTGAGTCTTCGCCATAAGTGGTCATCAACGATCAAAATGAAGGACCGCCTACTATGGCGAAGTACAGCTTAGGATATTTTTATTAGCAGTAAACCAATTATGAACATCGAAAGGCAACATCATCTACGCTACCTGAATAATCGAATAACTAAGGCTGAAGAAATGTGGTGCGTAAAAGTTGTCTGTTGCTCTTCACCGTCTGCACTGAAGATGACATTTTTTGTTATAACGATATAGCAGCTTTCATACAGTAACAAATAAAAGAAAATAAATCAGTGTAAGATGCGTAATGTCACATGAACAGATTTTGCAAAGCAGAAGTAGCTGACATGAATATACAGCTCGGTCAATGAGCTACATTTGCCGAAGCTTAGCGAGACGCTGAGAAAGTTCGTCCTTAAAAGCTGTTTCAGTTGACCAATGTCAGAAGGACAACAGCTCACCTGTTCAACAGACGCTTGTGTAGAAGTACCCACAGCACTGACTTGGCCAGTTGGTAACTCCATGTTAAGTTCGAGTCTAAATACGAACAATAAACGCAAACAATTAAACTTCAACAAGATGTTACCCGGCTTCATCAGCAACTTGTTGCATTAACTTGTCCACTTGTTCTTGAGGTGTGTTTAAAGTGCTTGTAGCCGACATCGCGTTTTCCATCGTAGCTGACTGAATATCTAAGTTCTGGAATTCCGTTTCAAAGTTGTCCATTAATTGCGAAACCTAAACCTTGGTGAACGATTACAATATATTTTGAAGAAAATCAGACCAAGGAACGGTGCTCTAACTGAAAATATGAATCTTGTTCCGAGTCATTACGAAGGCGAAGCCCTTCCAAATTTCTACAGCATGTTAAAGAATTTCGCTGTCTCGTTAAGTAGTTATATTAAAGTTAATATTTCAAAAATACGACGCACGGAGTTTACAATAAATGGCTTTGCTATTAACACAAAGCGGAATTCTTGCAAACTGGTACCAAATTGTACAACCAGAAACAGTAAACATGCAAACTTTCGGCACCGCCATTTAGAGCTAATGCATCTCTCAAAGAGTATCAAGGAACAACGGAAAAATCGCTATACACGAAGTCGTCGAAACATCGTTTACATTCGTTCATGATCTGAGAAAGTGTTAAAATTCCCAATTCAAGACGGAAATCTTTGGTTTTCAAGAAATGCCTATATTCAGTAGAAACTTACTACTGGTCTCAAATTAAACCTTTCTGGTAAAAAAGGATTGAACCTCTGAAG